GTTGAAATATTATGAGAATAAAGTTGAAATATTATGAGAATAAAGTTATAATATTAGAAGAATACACTTGTAATATGTTTCAGGGTCAGCTTGCACCTGCTGTGGACAGCCTCTAGTGCAGGTCGCTGTGTTTATTAAGTAGTCCATGATCCCTTTTGGGTCATTGTTTGTGAAATATGCCTCCATCTACATTATGTGACGAATAAATCCATCAATTCAGCCATTAATTACAATATCATAGGCTTCAGTTTATCATAAGAATCCATATGCTACAGTTTGTTTGGCCACCTGCTGTTGTACTGCCGACATAAACGTTCATAATTTTACTGCAGTTGTAAGACATATTTATCATGTCAGACTTCTGATAATATTGCAAGTTTATTCTGCTATGGTAAATGGTAAATGGACTGTACTTATATAGCGCCTTTCTATCTTATTTCAAGATACTCAAAGCATTTTTCACTACAATCTGTGTCATTTACCCATTCATACTGCACTCTACTAGATCTCTACAAAGCTAATATCAATATGATAAACCCATGATATGGTAATTAATGGCTGAATTGATGTTAATATTACAAGTTTATTCTGGTAATATTACAAGTTTATTCTGGTAATATTACAAGTGTATTCTTGTATAATTTCAACTTTATTCTCGTAATATTTTGACATTATTCTCATATGACTTTATTCTCATAATACTATGACTTTTTTTTTTTTTTTCATCTCTGTGCTCTGGGGAAGACAGACATGTCACCTTGTGTTCCTGAGAAGGGGGGCTCTGGACTATGCTACGTCTTTCCCTTAAAAATTCAATTTCTTCACCGGCCTATATGTACATGTATAACGTCTGTTTATGTTGCTTTGCTGTAGTAGGTTTTTTTGATGCCTCAAATCGTGCCCTGTCTAGGACACGGCGTGAGAGATCTTTTTTTCATACCGTCTCGCCTCATGTTTTCTTCACTTTTCTCATCTAAGCAAAATATTATTCTGAATAAGAATAAGAAGGGCCGCGCTTCCATAGTAGCAGCTTCGTGCACTCCGCCCATCTTTCGGACGACTGTACGTACATATTCCCGTTGTATCTCGGTGCAATGATAAAAAAAGTTTATTCTGATTCTGAGTCTGACTTTATTCTCGTAATTTACAACTTTATTGTCGTACGACTTTATTCTCGTAATATTACTAATTTATTCTCATAATATTACGACTTTATTCTCGTAACATTACAACTTTATTCTTGTAATATTAAAACTTTATTTTCGTAATACTACAACTTTATTCTTGTAAAACTATGGCTTTAAGTTCGTAATACTATGACTTTATTCTCTTAATACTATGACTTTATTCTTTTAATATGACTTTATTTTCGTAATACTACAACCTTATTCTTGTAAAACTATGGCTTTATGTTCGTAATACTACGACTTTATTCTCTTAATACTATGAATTTATTCTCATAATACTGCAAATGTATTCTCGTAATACTACGACTTTATTCTCGAAATACTACAACTTTATCCTTGTAAAATTATGACTTTATGTTTGTAATACTATGACTTTATTCTTATAATACTACGACTTTATTCTAATAATACTACGACTTTATTTTCGTAATACTACGACTTTATTCTCTTAATACTACAAATTTATTCTTGTAATATTACTACTTTATTCTCATAATATCATGACTTTATTCTCATAATACTACAACTTTATTCTTGTAATACTACGATTTTATTTTCGTAATACTACAACTTTATTCTCATAATACTACAACTGTATTCTCGTAATACTACAACATTATTCTCATAATACTACAACATTATTCTCGTAATACTATGACTTTATTCTCGTAATATTACGACTTTATTCTCGTAATACTATGACTTTATTCTCGTAATATTGTTACTTTATCCTCGTAATACTACGACTGTATTCTCGTAATATTACGACTTTATTCTCGTAATACTAGGACTTTATTCTCTTAATACTACAAC